GAGCCGTTCGGCACTCAGGGAAGGGGCGACTACTTTGAACAGTACGGCATCATCCGGGATGTCGTCCAAAATCATTTGCTTCAAGTGCTGACACTCGTGGCCATTGAAAAGCCCGAGTCGATGGACTCCAACAAAATACGCGACGAAAAGGTTTGTCCCTAACATTCATTAGCTATTATGCGCTCAAAGTTTATGCTCTGATTAACACGTTTTGATTTCCATTACAATCGATAATAATTGAGATAACTATGCATTGAATTACAGGTAAAACTGTTGAAAAGTATGGCCGACTTAGCGGTGGAGGACATTGTGTTGGGTCAGTACGTGGCTAACCCTAAGGGCGTGGGTGAGGCCAATACGAGTTATACGGATGACCCCAAAGTACCCAAAAACTCGACGGCGTCCACATACTCGGTGGTTGTGCTCAAGATTAACAACGATCGCTGGAAAGGCGTCCCATTTTTCATCAAATCAGGAAAGGCTACCGATGAGAGTCGGGTGGAGGTTAGGGTTCAGTACAAGTCGTTGGATAAAGACTTGTTTGGCGGCCAATCCAAGCGAGATATGACTATATTCCGGGTCCAACCCAACGAAGCCGTGTACCAGAGGGTCAACATTAAGAGGCCCGGTATGGACAGCGATCTGATCGAAACGGAACTGGACCTCTCGTATGCCTCCAGATTCTACGTATGTATTATATATAGTCAACCCATACATCAACTGTATGCTAATAACCGAGTGAACGCCTGTTCCCCACAGAATGCCTACCTTCCGGACGCCTACGAGCGGCTACTGATGGACGTGTTTAACGGCATTCAGACAAACTTCGTGCGAACTGATGAGTTGGCTGAGGCCTGGCGTGTGTTCACTCCCGCCCTCCACGCCATCGATAAGGAGAAGAAGATGCCCGTCAAGTATGTGTTCGGCGCCCAGACATTCAAGGAGGCCGACGCTCTCGAGGAAAAGTATGGGCTCACCCGCGAAAACTTTTAGACACCCGACACCCCAACCCTCGTTTGGTTTTAACAAATTTAATGAAAAATATGTAATTTTTGTTTATATTAAATTTCAATAAAATTTGCTTTTGTTTTAGGTTTTAAACAATAAATGAATTATGAAAGTTATTTCTAAATGTAATTTCTACATTTTTATACAATTACTAGTTTGAAAACTTTAATAATATAAGTTGAAATCATAAAATTAGTTAAATAATGAGCTACAGTACATTTGCTATTAGACAAAACAGTTTATTGTAAATATTTTTTGTGAATATTTAGTTTTATTTTTGGCTAAATTTTAATTTTACATTTCATTCATTGAGACAAATCACGCGAATTACGGAATTATTTATACTTTATTATAGTATTGAATA